AATGAATTCTCTAATCGATCTCTCTCTTTCCATCAGTGTACAGTTCTTTAAGGTTTATCACATGCATACATTAGCATAACAACAATGATCAGTTTTATCATATCCCAAGTCTGTGTTCCTCTATCATCAAATCCTTGCTCCAGGAGGCTGAGATCTGAGGATCTCAGTTCAAAGCCACCCCAGGCAGGAAATTCCATGAGAATCTTATCTCCAATTAACCACCAAAAAGCCAAAAATGGAGCTGTGGCTAAAGAGGTAGAGTGCTAGCCTTAAGCAGTACCCAGGTTGTACCATCAAGCCCTAGGACCAACATACACAAACACACATATACACATACACATAGATGTTTATTCTAAATTTAAATATAACTAAGTGAAAAGAGCATTGTATTGGGAGTCATCAAACTCAGGTTGGATCTCTATCCCATTAGTTCTATGGCTTCCATCAAGTCACAACCTGTCTTAACCTATTCCCTCATAAATAGAGTAATATAAATAAATACCACCTCTCACCTAGGAGTGATGTAAGAATTAAGTATGATATATTTAGGTAAATTGTATACATAAAAGCATTATCATGCAATCTGTGGCTGCAGCAGCTGTTTATAGCAGCTTTAATGTGTTACTCCAATCTTGTTAATTTTTGTCACTTAAGTATCTAGTTGCTGCAGGCCAAGTTGGCCTGTCTAGTGCTTCTGTTCCCCAGCAATGTACAACTTCATGTCAGGTTTCTAAGTGCATTGGAAATTTTGTTTGGCCTGTTTGCTAAATAATCCTATTTAGCTCATCATAGTGTAGCTGCTTGTGTATTGCAGGGTCACTCACATTTGTTAATCAAAGGAGTTGGCTTACATTGAACACTGCTTTTGTAACAATATAATGTGTCCATTCAAAGACTTGACGGGCTGGGAAGGTGGCTCAGTGGTAGAGCGCTTGCCTTGCATGCCTGAGGCCCTGGGTTCGATTCCTCAGCACCACATAACCAAAAAAAAAAAAAGAAAAAAGCCGAAGTGGAGCTGTGGCTCAAGTGGTAGAGCACTAGCCTTGAGCTGAAGAGCTGAGGGACAGCGCCCAGGCCCAGAGTTCAGGCCCCACAACTGGACCCCCCCAAAAAACAAAGACTTGACAACTGTGTGTGTGTGTGTGTGTGTGTGTGTGTGTGTGTGTGTGTGTGTGTGTGTGTGTGTGTGCCCGCTTCTTTGGCTCAAAGCTAGTGCTCTTCACTTGAGACACAGTCACTTCCAGCATCTTCTGAGCAGTTTGTCAGAGCTAAGAATCTCACAGTGGAGGGAAAGAGAAGGAGGGAACAGCTAATAACAAGCAAAAGGAAAGAAATGTACATATCACCTGATATATGTAAAGTTAACCCTGCTGTATATCATCTCTAAAACAACAAAAAAGAGAATCTCATGGACTTTTTTGTACTGACTGGCTTCGAACTGCGATCTCAGACTCTTGAGTAGCTAGTATTATAGGTCTGAGTCACCAGTGGCTGGCCCCAACTGTTTTTCTACATCAATAATGCCTGTAGGCATTTCTTTCTTTCTTTTTTTGTCTGTTGTGGGGGTTATGTGTGCTGTCCCAGAGCTCTTCAGCTCTAGGCGAGTGCTCTACCACTTGAGCCACAGCGCGACTTCCGCCTGTAGGTATTTCTAATAAAACTCTGTAAACTTTTGAGAAATCATCTGTAGAATCAGCTGTAGGTATTTCAGAATCTGAAGTCTTTCCTTATTTAAAATCTTATGATTCTGTTATGGCCTCTAGGGACTTTTATTAACTTCTGTGTTTAAGTGTAGGCAACATCTTTTAGTGGGTAGAACAGTAGATCAGAATCCAGTTTACTATGGTTCTATCATCACAAGACTCGTCCTCTTTATCAACTAGGAATAGGTGATAACATCCATAGAAAACTGTTATTAAAATCCATCAAGGCAATGTATACGGTTCTGAAAGCATAAACATGTAATATATTATTTCATAACATGATAGCCAACAATTTCTCACAAAATATTTCTTACAGAGGCTTTTCTTTTTCTTTTTCTTTTTTGGTATCTTCCATGCCAGCACAACCCCTTGCCTCCAGAGGTTTATTTTCAGTTAGCACTCACTGGACAATGCCTTATCTAAGTCGTGACATTGAAATAATTGGTAGGGGGTGCAGGTTGTTATTGTTTAACTCAGAAAGATGGTGAATATGTATTTATTGATGATGATGGTCATTAATAAAGGGGATCATTACTGATCTATGGTCAACAAGGAATAATAGGCTGGAAACGTCCAATTAGTTAAGTCTTGTCAATTCTACCTTCTTCTTCATAGCTCTATAATTGATCTACTGTCAAGTTCAAGCCTCAATTTTGTGAATGAATTAGTGCATTAACCTTAGGACTGCAATCTGAACTCCTTCCAATCCAACCTTCCCACTTAAGTCAGAGTGGTTTAATGAACATACAAATTTTACTCTCTTGATTAAAATCCTTCAGTAGCTTCACTTCAAAGCATTGGTTTGTTAGAATGAAATACAAGGCCCTTCAGTAGAAAGCCTCTGTTTACCCAAGCACATCTCTTACTAATTTGTTATACAATCCTTGGACTCCTGAGCTTGAATAAGTTTTTTTTTAATGCCTCCTTGCTTTCTAACACGCTACTTTCCTTTTTATTTTTTATTTTACTTAATTTTGGTGCCAATCTTGGGGCTTGAATGCAGGATGTGGGTGCTGTCCCTGAGCTTTTTAGCTGAAGGCTAGCATTCTACCACTTGAGCCACAGCTCCACTTCTAGCTTTTTGGTAATTAAGTGAATGTAAGAATTTTATGATTTTCTCTGCCTGGGCTGGCTTTGAATCATGATCCTCAGATCTCAGCCTCCTGAGTAGCTAGGATTACAAGTGTGAGCCACCAGTTCCTGGATATTTCTAATTTGTGTGTGTGTGTGTGTGTGTGTGTGCACGTGAGCGCACGCACACGTGTGCATGTGTGCATGTACGTGTACGTGCTTGTACTTGATCTTAAACTTAGAGCCTCTTGCTGGGCTTATGGCTGATGCTGTACCACTTCCAGTTTCAGCTTTTTTGGTGGTTAATTGTAAATAACAGTGTCTGGGTTTGTCTGCCTGGGCTGGCTTCAAGCCAAGATTCTCATATCTCAGCCTCCTCAGTAGCTGAGGTTACAGGCATGAGTCATCAGCACCAGATTATAACAGTATTTTAAACACTGTGTAAAGATAGTGGCTTACATGCCACCTTCAAGTGAAAATCTTCATTTTGAAATTCTATTCTTCTATAAATGACTAGCTTAAGTATCCTTTCATATATATATATACATATATATGGTGTATCTTCATTAGACTTCAGTTTACAGTGCCTCTTCATAAAGAGGTTCATAATTAAAAAAAAGTTCAGACTGACATATGCAAAAGGAAATGTGCTTATTACCTGATTTGTGAAATGGTAACTCCTCTGACAACACCTTAATAACAAAAAAAAAGTTCATAATTACTCGACTGTCTTGTGTGAAAGGTTTGAGAATGCATCAGTGAGTATAAAACTGCCACTATAACCGTCTTATTGTCTCTAGGGTTTCAATTAACATTTTTACTTGGAAATCAGTTTCCCAGATAATTGTAAAATTTTGATGGTAGTTTGATTATAGAATCGAAGTCTGGTGGGAGAGGAGTTGGGGAGGTTCAAAAAAGAATAATACAGTGGGCTTGGAAGGTGGCTCAGTGGTAGAGCGCTTGCCTTGCATGCATGAGGCCCTGGGTTCGATTCCTCATCACCACATAAGCAGAAAAAAAGAGCTGGAAGTGGTGCTGTAGTTCAAGTGGTAGAGTGCTAGCCTTGAGCTGAAGAGCTGAGGGACAATGCTCAGGCCCAGAGTTCTGGCCCCATGACCGGACACCCCCCCCCCCCAAAAAAAAGAATAATACAGCAGGGTGAATTTGATCAATGTACATTAAAAAAACACAAACTTGTCTTTAAATAAATACTTCTCTATTTAACATGTTCATCCAATTACTATCCCATATTACCAATCTAGCAGTTTTTTAAAGCCCCCAGAGGCCAAAGGGAAGGGCTAGAAAGAGGGAAACTAGAAAAGCAAAATGTGCATTTGTATATGTGTACTCCAAGAACAATAGGCCTAAGGTTTAGGAAATAGAACAATTACCATAGTAAAAAAAATGTTTCAAGGGAGGCAGTGAATCTCAATGATGAAACCTCCTCCTAAGGAGAAAATTAATGTCTGTAGTTCAATCTATCCTAAGCATTAGTGCACATGGAGAGTGATGGTAAAGAGTATGGCAAGTATGCCAGTGGTTCACTCCTGTAATTCTCGTTGTTCAGGAGGCTGAGATCTGATGATCATGGTTCAAAGGCAGCCTGGGCAGTACAGTCTGAAAGACTCTTCAATTAACTACCAAAAAGCAGAAGTGAAGCTGTGGCTCAAGTGGTACAGCATTATTTTTGAGTTAAAAAAAAAAACTCAGGGACAGTGCCCAGAGCAGGAGTTCAAGCCTCAGGACTACTAGGGGAGCTGGATTTCATGCCCACCACTGAAAAAAAAATAATACACACAGGGAAATTGGAGAGTCCAGTGGCATTGAGTTGGATATAGTAAAGAGAAAGGTGGAATAACCTATAAGATAGGGTTGCAAGATTTACCAAATGCAGTAATTGAGACATTCCAAGAAAGAACTTTTTATGTGAAATTCAAACCTAACTGGGCATCCTATATTTTAATCTAGCAACCTCAGAAAAGGAGAAAAAAGATAATGTTATTGGTTGTGTGAGAGAAAGCAAAGCAAAGCAAAACAAAACTAAAGCCTAGCCCCAGAGGGAAAATAACAAGGTGACACAGACACACCTGAACGGTCAGCCAGGAGCTATTTCCGGTGTCGGATCCAGAGGAGCGGAGGGGGGGTGGTGGTGGTGAGGGGGAGGGGAGCGAAGTTTAAGGTATGAGCGCTCAGTCCGCTGGTGTCCCATAATCCCCCGCGCTCGGTTCCTCTTTCCTCGCTCAAGATGGCGCTGCTCGCGATCCATTCTTGGCGCTGGGCAGCCGCGGGAGCTGCTTTCGAAAAGCGCCGGCATTCAGCAATTCTGTTTCGGCCCCTGGTTTCTGGGGGCGGCTCGAGTCGGCAGTGGAGGCTGGGTCAGCGTGGCGCATCAGGAAGTGCTCGAAAGCACCAGGTGAGCTGCCATTGCCGTGGACTTGCAGGGTGAAGGACCTGACTGGGGAAAGGTTGCCCCTTTGACCTCGGGTCAGAGAGAGCACCTAGAGGAAAGGTGGTGGGGACTAGCTCAGAGCCTCAGTAAGTGATGGAAATTCAAGTTAATAACTTTGAGGAAGGAGTGAAAACGGAGGAACGGAGCGAGGCGGGAGGGGGATGGTTCTGGGCGGAGGGTACTTGGTGCGCCCCAAGTCTCTAGTAAGACCTACAGATTCTTTCTGATGTTAACGACTCTCTATAAGGGTTGTCTTCGAATTGGGTGTTAATTTTGGTTCAGCTTTTCCTTAGTCGGAAAGAACAGTTTAGAAAGGTATTTTAAGATGAGCAAACAACTGCACGCCACTTCTAAACAAGTGGCAAGTTGAGTTGGCACCAGTTAACTCCCTTGCTGACAGGCGTGCTGTCTGATAGGCAAAAGCCATCATTATCTTCCTCCTCAAAACTCTACATTAAGATAGAAGCATGATTGGCTTTTGAATTGAGTGTTCAGTGGGTTCTCTGTGTACTTGGAAGCCGTTAAGTCTGTTTACTTACTTTAGGAGTGTTGCAACGGTTATATGACATTGCCTTAATAGTTGTGTCCGTTATTAGTTTTCACTCAAGAGCAGTTTTAAAGCAACCCGTCTTGCTGTACTTCAGTGTAACTTTTCCCTATGCATCGACAAAAAGTGTAAATACCACCACTTATTTATAAGTCTTTTTAAAAAATATTGTCAACTGTCGACTGGGGGTGTGACTCAAATGGCAGAACCCTTTTTTTTTTTTTGCCGGTCCTAGGACTTGAACTCAGGGCCTAGTGAGCACTGTCCCTGAGCCTCTTTGATACAAGCACTCTACCACTTGAGCCACAGCGCCACTTCCGGCTTTTTCTGACTAGCTTATTGGAGATAAGAGTCTCACCAACTTTCCTACCGCGGCTGGCTTCGAACCATGACCCTCAGATCTCAGTCTCCTGAGTAGCTAGGATTACAGGCGTGATCCACCAACACCGGATCAGGACACTTTCTTTCTTAACATGTATGAGGCCCTGAGTTCAAAGGCCTGTGCCACCAAAAGAATAAAAGACCAATGTTACAAGATCATCTAATTATTTAATAGACTTTGGAAATACAGATTTTTATGCATGATATTCTAAAAGTATTGTCAGCTTCCTTTGACAAGCAAACTTCTTTTTCAACAACACTATACGTTTAAATACTGTTTCATAATAGAAGACCAGGGGAAATATAAGAGTTATACTTTCAAGGACTGTACAATATTTTTTTTGTGTGTGTGTGTGTTGGTCATCGGCCTGAACTCTGGCCTGGGTGCTTGTCCCTCAACTCTTCACCTCAAGGCTAGTGCTCTACCACTTGAGTCACAGCATCACTTGTGGCTTTTTCTGTATATGTGGTGCTGAGGAATCGAACCCAAGACCTCATGCATGCAAGGCAAACACTCTACCACTGAGCCACCTTCCCATCCCCTGTACAGTTTTTAAAACAAAAAAAAAATTTGGAATGGAGACATGGCTCAGTGGCAGTAACCCTGCCTAGCAAGTTCAAGGCACTGAGCTCAAACTCCCATACTGCCAAAAATATTTTTGAAGGGTATAGTTTGAGATTTCATATGTGGTTTATGTGCACTAATCTGACCAGAATAGTTGCTATCATTTGTCATTTTATATAGCATATTTTAGAACATAAACAAACCTTGTTATAGTGTTATAAAACTATATTAAGGGTTTGGATCAGCATTTTCATTTTTTTTTGTACTGGTCCTGGGGCTTGAATTCAGGGCCTCAGTGCTGTCCCTGAGCTTTTGTGCTCAAGGCTAGTGCTCTACCACTTGAACCACAGCTCCACTTTCAGCTTTTTGGGGTGTCTAATTGGAGATAAGAGTCTCATGGGCTTTCCTGCCCAGGCTGGCTTTGAACCTTGGTCCTCAGGTCTCAGCCTTCTGAGTAGCTAGAATTATGGGCAAGAGCTACCAATAAAATGTCTGGCTGGATCAGCATTTTCTTTTAGGTAAAATTTAGTATAGTAAAAAAGAAACTCTAGTACCTTTTCTATATTAAACCAATACCATTTTATTATTTTTATGTGTATTCACACTCCCACATGTATGTGATTATTGAGATAAACTGTAAATGTATTTTTTAAGCCCTTGAGTTGTGTAGAGTGGTAGCCATTAGCTTGATGTGGTTATTAAAATTAACAGTACAAGCTGGGCACCAGTGAATCATGCTTGTCATCCTAGCTCCTCAGAAGACTGAGATCTAGAGATTAGGTTTGAAGCCAGACCAGGGTAGAAAGGACATGAGGCTCTTTTATTGCTGGTTAAATACCAGTTAAGTGTGTGGAGAACACTACCCTTGAGCAAAAAAAGCTGAAGGACAGCACCCTGGCCCTGAGTTCAAGCCAAGGGCGCGCGCACACACACACACCAAAGAAATTTGTTTACACATTTAATTCCTCAGGTGGAGTAGCCACATTTCAGGAGCTCAAGAGTTACAAAGTGTGGCTTGTGATTGTTGTGTGAGCATATCTAATAAACTTCTATCATCATAGAAAGTTCTATTTGACAATTATGCTTCCAAGAATATTATCTCCAGCCCTTCTAGAGTCCTATTAGTAGAGAAAGACAACTTTTTTGTTCCTGTACTGAGCTTGAACTCAAGGCCTCAGGATTTTGCTTGGCTTGGTTACACATAGCTGGCATTTTCCCTCTTGAGTCATACCTCCAGTCAGCATTCTTCTGGTTAGTTGGAGATGGAGTTATGACTAAACTGCACCCCTCGCTCAGGATTTTTTGTTATTGAAGTGTAAGAGTTCTTTGCATATTGTAGATATAAGTCTTTTATCAGATAATTTGCATTTAAAAATTATTTTTAACATATTTTCTTTTATTTTTTAATTATTTTTCTTTTTATTATCATAAAGCAGTTCAACAAAGGATTTACCATTTAACAAAGCAGTTTATAACAACATGTATTGATTAATGTCATCCTTTTCAACAATAATATGTCTCAGTATGACCTTTTTTGCTTCCTACTGGACATTCCTTTTCCATATGCCTCCTCTGCATTCATATCTTTTAAAATATTTATTTATTTGTATGTGCTAGGGTTGAACTCAGAACGTTTCATTTGATTGGCATTCTGTGTCTTCCAGCCCCCCCTCTTTTTTTGTCAGTCATGGGGATTGAGCTCTGGGCCTGGGTGCCGTTCCTCAGTTCTTCAGCTCAAGGCTAGCACTCTACCACTTCTGGTTTTCTTGTGGTTTATTGGGGATAAGAGTTTCATGGTCTTTCCAAGCAGAAAAGGTCAGATAAGATGATGTTAAGTGAAATGAACCTCAACATAAGGACACAAGTGGTTTTTTCTTTCTTGCTGTTGTTTCTAATGTATTTATAAGGTACCACGTGATTTTTTTTGTTGCTTTGTATGTCCCTCCCCCACGATATAACCCCTGTTTTCACTGTATCTGATGTTGATATAATTTGAGGAGGGGAAGGGAAAAAACAAGTTGTTTAAATAGGGATACAGGTTGACCCATTGTAACAATGAGATGTACAAGATGTTATGTCGAAAAATGAACTTTACAATTTACGTGTGGGGGGAGTGTAGCTGTGGAGATGGGAGGGAAGGGATAGTAGGGGAAAAACAAAGGAGGGTATAACAATGCTCCATAGAAATATACTCATTACCTTGCTTATGTAACTGTAACCCCTCTGTACAGTATTTTCACAATAAAAAACTTATTAAAAAAGTTTCTTGGTCTTTCCTGCCTGGGCTGACTTTGAACTGCTATCCTTGGATCTCAGCCTCCTGCCCAGCTTCTTCCAGCCCTTTTATGCACAAATTTTTTGTGACGGTGTCTTGCTTTTTGCCAAATCCAAATTTGAATCATGCCTTTTCTAGTTTATACTTCTGTCATACCAACTGTACTCAGCTTGGTTCATTAAAATGGACTCTTCCAGGGCTGGGAAGGTGGCTCAGTGGTAGAGTGCTTGCCTTGCATGCATGAGGCCCTGGGTTTGATTCCTCAGCACCACATAAGAAGAAAAAAAAGCCGGAAGTGGTGCTATGGCTCAAGTGGTAGCGTGCTAGCCTTGAGCTGAAGAGCTAAGGGACAGCACCCAGGCCCAGAGTTCAGGCCCCATGACTGGACTCCCCCCCCCCCCCCCAAAAAAAAATAGACTCTTCCAAAATTCTTCACCTGGACTGGCCTTGAAACATGATCCTCCTAATCTGAACTTCCCATATATCGGGAATGTTAGGTACTGTCTAACACATCCAGCTAATAGCTTAAAAAAAAAAAGTCTTGCAAGCTTTTTTTACCCAATCTGGCTTTGAACTGCAATCCTCTACATTTTAGCCTTCCAAATAGTTAAGAATTCAGGTATTAGCCATGACTTGTGATTTCCTGTCATAAAATCTTGATTTTTTTTTCTTATGAGAGAAAACATAGAGTCCTTACCTTTCTAAATCTTGCTAATTTCATTTAATATGATGTCCAGCTCCATCCATTTTGCTGCAGCATTTTTTAAATTGCTGTGCGAGTTTTCTCATTAGGTTCCTAATAGTATTCTCTGAAGCACAAATTTTTTTCTTTTTATTATGGGGGTATAACTCAGTGATGCAGCCAAGTGTTTAGCATGTGCAAGGCCATGGAGTTCTGTGCTTAGCACTAAAACAAAAGTTTCTTATTTTGTTAAATTATTTTTACTTTTGCTTATGCTTTAGGTATTATATCTAAGAATCTATTGCCATGGGCTGGGAAGGTGGCTCAGTGGTAGAGTGCTTGCCTTGCATGCATGAGGCCGTAGGTTCCATTCTTCACCATCACATAAGCAGAAAAAGCTTGAAGTGGGGCTGAGGCTCAAGTGGTAGAGTGCTAGTCTACAGCTGAAAAGCTGAGGGACAGTGCCCAGGCCCAGAGTTCAGGCCCCACGACCGGATCCAAAAAAAACGAATCT